AACATGAGAAAATCTTGGTGTTTGAGTTGTTTCCCATTTCAAACACAAAGGATACTCAGATCTCGATGTAACACATTCTGTTGCAAACGCTGAGCCCAAAGATGGAACTGCGCTGAAGGCCCATAGTAGTATCGCCATTGCAAATCCCTTTACTTCATATGTGCCTCTTGCCCAAGTATTCTCATTTATCCGTTGGATGCTTGTAGCAAGAACCCTATATGCATGCTTGCCCCACGGTTGAGATGTGTAGATTGCGAATTCTGAAGCATGTACCAGTCTAGACAAAGGGATTTTCTCCAACGAACCTGGTGTAAAGAGAAAGGCTTCTGTCAAAATTACCATACCTAGACTCAGTTTCTCTTCAGCATCCAGCGGATGCAGCTGATTTGGTTCAAACAAACGTTTTTGGAGTTGTTCCAGCGTAAAATGCTCTTTCTGAGTCCAGAAATATGGAGCTTTTGATGGAGCTTTGCCTTTTCGAAGCATTTCACTATCAATCAGGTCACACTGAACACCTGTAAGTGAATACAAATTTGATATTAGAGTTTTATAAAAACTTGTAAAACACATTGTTAAATGTTTTTAAATACATTGTAAAACTTTTAAAACACATTGTAAATTGATTAAAAACTTACAAAACAAAACTAATTTAGATATACCTGTGGTAAGCAAGAATTCTCTCTCTGAGAATCGCATTGGCTGGGAGTCAAATGTGAACCAGAGATTCTTCTCCTTTAAAAGCAACCTTCGCTGCATCAAGAAGTGGAAAATCTTCCCCGAAAAATTAACTCCACTTCTTTTTGCTAGTTCAATAATAGGACCAAGGAAAGAGGCTTTAATTAGATTAAACTGTTCCTCCCCTAGTGCGAGCTCAACTTTTTTGACCAAATGCGTTTCGAAATGTTGAATAACAACAGCTCCAATGTTTGGTTCAAACCCGGGATTATATATACGGGGCGGTAGGTTAAGCACATCCAATGAGTCATTGTTAGACATCTGCGTAAAAACCAAGCATAAAAACCATATCAAGAATGTAAAACATTTAAAACGGTTGTAAAATACAGAAAAGGAATAATTCAGCATTTAAGACCTTTTTAAAACGGTTGTAAATTACAGCAAATGAATAATTCAGCATTAATAACGAACCTTTAAAAAATGTTGTAAAATCCACAGTTAACGGTTATAAAATCAAGAAATGGAATAAATCAGAGAGGATATACCCTAAATCAAGCATTAAGAAGCATTTACAAGTTAAGAACGAACCTTTAAAAATGTTGTAAAATCTACAGTTCAAAATCAAGCAGTCAAATCAAGCGTTATCAGTCAATAATGAGATCAAAAAAGCTTCAAGAAGACCAAACTTTCACAGAAACACAGAATCTAACCACAGAATCAAACCAATGTTGTAAAATCTACAGTTCAAAATCAAGCAGTCAAATCAAGCGTTATCAGTCAATAATGAGATCAAAAAAGCTTCAAGAAGACCAAACTTTCACAGAAACACAGAATCTAACCACAGAATCAAACCACAGAATCTAACTTCCAAAAGACAAACCTTTCAAAAAAGCTTCTAAAACATAGTGAGGAATCTAACCTGGAATCGATGTGGGACAGATCGAAATAAAACACAGACGGAGACGGAGACGCTGAGAAATCAAAATCGAACAAAAAGATGTTAACGCCGATCGAAATCGAACAGATCAAATCGAAAACGAACAACGAGATTTTACCACCGATAGAAAGCGAAATCGAAAGGAGACGCCGATTTGATATCGGAATCGAGATATCGGAATCGAGATCGGAAAATCGTCGCCGATCGAAATGAGAGAAAGAGAGAGAATGGTTGAGAGAACCGTGCAGATCTTAGGTTATGAAAGCAAGGGTACTTTGGTCATATTTGAATTAATTAAGGGGTATTTTTAAAAATGACAAGCAAAAAGGGGCAATGTTAAAAAAGGGTGTGTGAAACAGGACATTATTAACAATTTCTCTACATTTATTTGATTTATTTTTCATCACTCAAAGTAAAAAAAAAAAAGGTTGCCAAAATATTTATCTAAATGGAAATAGTATAGACTAAATGTTACGTTTAAAAAGTTGAGTCATCTCATCAAAACCCAATTAATAGAAGAATTTAATTTAAAAATTATGTATTAAAACCAATTGAATATCATGTAACGTTTTCTAGTTTTTTCCTAACTCTTCCTAACTTTGTTTCTTTTGATTTATTTTAAACCATAAGTTCTATAATTTTAAGTCAATCTTAATTCCAAAAAATCATTTCTTTTACCTGATTGGTATACTTGACATGTATTTCAAATCTAAAATTTTCTCTAATTTCTTTTGCCAAAATATTTATCTAAATGCAAGGAAATATATAGTATAGACTAAAATGTTATGTTTAAATAGTTGAGTCCTCTCGCACAATTAATATAAGAAATTTAAATTAAAAATCATGTATTAAAGTTAATTAAAAATCATGTAACGTTTTCTTTCACTAATTGAGTAACTTATTCATCTCCACTAAAATTCTATTAAAATCCTAAAATCCTAATAACTTATGAACTAATAACGTATGAAGTATGGAATAATATAATGCCCCACTAAACTCTTAGTACCTTAAACTCATTTGTTATAAATAGTTGCCTTTCCTTTCATTACAATACTCATATCTTTCCCAAATTATTTTTTCTATACACATATACTACTATAAATTTTATATTTATTCATAAAACATTAAATATTTTCATCAAGATAGATGCATGATTATACATGGCATCTGTTTTTAGATGATTTATCTCTTACCAAAATCAAAAAGGCGAACATGAAATCAATCCGTCTAGAGCTTTTCAGAATTATTGTTGTGTATAAATTATATAGATATCGTCTTCACTCTTCTCTGTGAATGTCGATGTAAACGTGCTATATCATATTAATTTGGATTCATATCTTTTGATTTTATAGTAATATAAAGTTTTACGTTTGTTCTTAAAGGTTTTAATTTTAATTTTATTTTTGAATTAGTTCTTCATAAACAAATCTCTATGTATCTATAAAAGGATCTCATTTATCTACCTCATATGTCAAATTATTTTTCATAGTAGAGTTTCTAATTTTACTTTTTCCGAATTCCGTTCTTTTACTTTTGATTGAAACTTATTATTTTTTCTCTTGATTTCATATTATCGCTCACATTAAAAAACCATATGAGATAGTTTTTTCATAATGTGGTCAACTTTGATTTATAGATTTGGTTTTTTTATGATATCCCTAACTTAGATTTTGGCTTTGTTTTTATATGATTTATCCCTAGTCAATTAGAAGGATATGTTAATTTTAGTGACATCATTATTTTTACATAGAGTTTAAAACTCTCTATTTATTAAAGATTTTCATTTTTAAAAATTTTCCCTAATTTTTAACTCACCAATGAGATCACCTATACATACATAGAAAATCTTCTAAAATTGAATGTGAGTGTCGTGATCAGCTATAGAATATGGACAATAATTCAGTTATTGTCAGAATTCTCTTCGTACAGTATGTGGTATTCCTCTGTTTTCTTTTCTCTTTAGTTGATGAAATTAAGTTATTGCATGAACTTGATGTTTCAATCACTAATTGTTGATGTTTTTGTTAAGATTATCATGGTTCGAAATGTCCCAAGATATGGTATATAAATCCATCGTTGACGAAAGAAAGCCGATGGATGTTGATCGAACATTCGAACTCCTCGTTGGTGCCGTAATTAGTGATTGAAATATCAAGTTCGTGCAACAACTTGGATTCATCAACATCCATTGGTAATGTAAAAAAGATATCAACATCCATGAGCTGTCTTTTATCAAAAACGGGTTTACCATATATTAGGACATGTTCAAACCATCAAATGATGATTTTAACAAAAATATCAACAATTAATGTTACTTAATGTTACTTTCTATCTCAATAATCTGCTTAATGTTACTTTCTATCTCTAAAATACTTTTAGTGACCATACTTGATGTAGGAGATGAGATAAGTGCAGTAGGAGGTAGAGGTGTGAGTATTAGCAAAAACTTAGTTGCAGTTGTAGATCTACAAAACTGGAGAGGCAATTATGAAAAAATAGGCAATTGAAAACATGGAATTTTTATCAGGTTAAATCCTCCAGATCCACCGCCTCCACCCCTCGAAAGGCATGCTTCCCCTGTGATCTCATCCACCTTCCTTCCTCATCCTCTTTACTCGCGGTATTTCGCTACCGTCTCTCGGGTTGAAACTAGGGTTGTGTCTTCTAGTGACATTCTTAACGTATTTATGCGACCTCCTACTTCAGTATGCAGATCTATATATTACCGATTTCATTTCGGGTCCGTACAAGTATACATTTGTCTTGTTGTTTTCTTTCCCTTATTTAGCTAGGGATAGTTTATCTTCATTTGCTATATTGGATACAATCCTTGATAGGATCTATCTTTGGGAATGTGAGTCTCTTATTGTATGGTTTATCTCAAGGCTCTTGTTAATTGCTTGGACTGTTTATGTTTGGGCCTTCGTTGCCATTCTTACTCCTTTGTGGAGATGTTTGTTCTATCAATTTCTTCTTTGTGAGAAAATTGTTTAGTTGCAGGGATGAAATCCTTCTTTGGTGTTGCTAGGCTTGCCATCTCATCTCTCACTGGTATGGGATGGTCCTTCATCATTTCTTCTGAAGTTCTCCTGCTTGATGGTTCTATCCTTAGCCGAAAGGATTGGTGTTTTGAAGACATTCAAAGTCACCTTGCATCTAAAAAGCTATCGCTTCGACAATGCTTCATTATTGTCCTTGTAGCAGACAGTTTGGCACTCAAGAAAGCATTCTTAGATGCTTGTTTTGCTTCTTTGAAGCAAATTCTCTTCCCAAAATTCCCTCTTGTTTGGAGTCCTATGGATGATCAAGACTTGTCGGTATTGCAAGGTTCCTCCTCCCGACTGATAGTCTCCTCTACCTTTGTCGAAGAGTTTATAACCGTTCAGGTTATTATCCATGTGGTCAATCAAGAAGATATTGAGATTGTACTTGTTTGTTGGTCTCTTATATTCTCCTTGTGATTTGTAACTTATCTATCCCTCGTTTAGCTATCTTTTGATGGCCTTTTTGGCGCTTGTTGCCTTACTACTTTGTATTTCCTTACCTTTGGATGTATTTCCTATTCTGTTTTAGGTTGAGACTCTTTAGGTTAATGAAAATCAGATGTTTGACTAAAAAAAAAAAAATACTAATAATAAATATAGTACACTACTAATTCACAAGGTGTAAAAAGTACAAGAATCACTGCATAAATGGCAAATGAACCAAGTCACATTATTATCCCCTAGATCACCAATCAATAAAAAAGTTTTAAATAACACGGGACATGCTATATGGCGGGAGAGGTGTGAATCGACTTTATAAAAATTTAAAATATCATTAACATGACGCTTCAATACGAGTTAAATTCTTATTTTATTATTTATTAACATCATCAATATTGTACATGTCGATCATATTGATTTACTAAAAACTGTGTGAAACAAACATTTTGTTCCGCGATATACAGCGAGTTAAATCCTAGTTTCATTATATGAAAATATGTGAGAATTTGGTCTATCTCCAATTATAATGATAAACACAAAATTAGTCTAAAGATGATCAAACATTGTGATATTTGTTTTCGTGCCAAACAAACACGTGATTTGGTGGGATATTTTGGTAGTCTTTTGTCCATGGTAGCAATTTTTTGCCTCTTGTTTCATGATTAAGACTATCTCTTGGCATTTCATGTCTTTTCTAGCCATTCAGTATAAATCTTGTACTTGTAGCTAAAATGTTCTTAAACCGGACCAGACACTGGCTCAACCCAATTTCGGCTACAAAACCGGTCCGGTTTTTAAAACATTAAAAAATATATAATTTAATATGCGTAATTAAAAAAAAAAAAAAAAAAAAAGGAACAAAACTGTAATGTTCGTCTCTCTCGGGAGACAATCCAGAAACGAAACGCCTTTTGTGAGCGAGAGAAGAGAAGAGAGAAGAGATCACACCACACAAAAACTTCAATTTTGTTTTGGAAATTTGTTGCTAGAGAGAGAGAGAGACAACACTTAGGTTTTGGTGACTCCAATTCTGAAACGAAATGAATCGGTGAAGAAATTTGTTTAGGATCCTCAAGAGAGTGTAGCGAGGAGTAGTCTCTGATCCGTTCGCTGATTCCAATGGCGAGACGGGTCTTCGAAGCCTGGAAGGGAAGTAATGTAAGGTCCTTTGACTCTCGATTTCCCTTTTTTCTGGAATCTGCATTTCAAGAAATCTACAATTATTTGTTAGGTTTTCGTAAAGGCGACGTTTTTATCACTTCACTGTCGTAGTTTTATGTGGATTTGATTTATATAGCATGTAAGTTTTGTGAGTACAATGTAGACATTTTGTGTGTGAAGAGAGCATTTTCAGTGAGATTACATCGGTGAGCTTTATTGGATTCATCTAGATATGTCGAATTTTGTGTATTGAATGTGTTTAAAGTTCGAATCTTTTTCACTGTTGATAGTGATGAAGGTCTAAGTATGAACATGAATATCTTGGTTGTTAGATTTGGTTTGTTTCCATGCTGTTGTGATCGCCATATTTTCGACATTGATGAGCTTTCTAGTCATCATTGGTTCACTCTCCAAGCATTTTTCGCCAACTTTATTGTCAATGGAACCCATTAAACACTTTTGAATATAGCTTTTAATGCTTTGCTCCATGCTGTATTTTATACTGAACATGATTCTCTTTTGTTGCTCTTTTGCAGAAGTTTTTATTTGGTGGGAGATTGATTTTTGGGCCAGATGCTTGGTCTATTCCTTTTACCTTCCTGCTCATCATAACTCCAGTTTGTTTCTTTTCTGTATTTGTTGCAACACATCTTCGCCGCGAGCTCTTACCAAACAATGCGGGACATGTGTTTTTAGTGGCAGGAGTCCTATTTACTGTCTTTGTAAGTCTTCTCCAATGCCCATTTGATATGTGATCACATGAATTTTTGTATACCTTTTAACTTATCATGGGATATTATAGGAACTCTTTTTTATAAAAAAATTTGAATGTTGATTATATAAATGCATCATAGTATGATTCACTGGTAATCATAACACAATAAGTTAAGAATCTAACCAAAATAATGAAATCACTCCACAAGAAAATGTATCGTACTATGTTCATTGTTATGTTCTTTCCTCTAGCTTAGAGATAAAGTTTGAGGTATTACGTTGAATGTTTGTCACTTTTTGTATGGCTTTCGGATTATGTTTTTATGGGCAGGTTTAGTGTTCTTACCTCATTTATGCTTTAAAAAAAAATCATATAACTGCTTTTTAATAGGTACTGATCCTTCTATTCCTCACTTCTGCGCGGGATCCTGGAATCGTTCCAAGAAATTCGCATCCGCCAGAGGAAGAACTATGCTATGATACAACTGCATCAAGTGATGGAAGACAAACACCCACTGTTCAAATTCCTAGGACGAAGGAAGTCATGGTTTATGGCGTTTCTGTTAGAGTTAAATATTGTGATACATGCATGCTTTATCGGCCTCCTCGTTGCTCCCATTGTTCCATTTGCAACAACTGTGTTGAGCGCTTTGATCATCATTGCCCTTGGGTAGGCCAATGCATTGGAGTGGTAAGCTGATTCAAAATCATATTAAACTAGGAAGATATGCAGTTCATAACTTCTTATAGGCTGAAAAATGTGCAGGATTTTCTATAAAAGGATTTCATATTTGAGGATCTGGTTTATCTGTTGTTGACAAAACTGTGAACTTAATTTTCCATCTTGACATTTTGTTTTGTGGGTGTTGTGGGCAGAGAAACTATAGGTACTTCTTTATGTTTGTTTCTTCGGCAACTATTCTCTGCATCTACATTTTTTCGATGTCGGCATTATACATCAAGGTTCTGATGGATAACCATCAAGGTACTGTGTGGAGGGCAATGCGAGAATCACCCTGGGCGGTTATGCTGATGATATATTGCTTTATTTCCCTGTGGTTTGTTGGAGGGCTTACTGGGTTTCACTTGTACCTCATTAGCACAAACCAGGTTAGTTTTGTTCTGCTCCGGGTATGTATTGTGTAAACTGTGTCTCATCTGATACCTTGCATTGCGATTTTTCAGACGACCTATGAGAATTTCCGGTACAGATCAGACAACAGAATCAACGTTTATAACCGTGGGTGTTCAAACAATTTTCTTGAGACATTTTGCTCAAAAGTTAAACCCTCGAGGAATGACTTCAGAGCGTTCATCAAAGAAGAATCTCCAAAGAATATTACATTGGCTACCACATGGGAACGACCGGAAGAAGCAGATGAAGAAAATAGGGAGGAACGGCGTCAGAAGGTGGAAGACGATCTAGACATCGATGAAGATGTTTTGAAACTCCAGCACTGTTTAAATGTCGAAGAGGGCAGCGATACAGCGCATCACAAGATCGATATTGACCAAATGAGAGTCGGGTCTAATGAGAGAGCACCAACAATTCGATCAGAAGCCAGGCACGGAAACTGGGAAACAAGACGTAATGTACAAGAGGACGACGTAATTGCTGGTTCTTCAGTAAGGGAAAGTAGAAGCTATGCAGCTGCAGAGGAGGGACGGTGATTGGTGAACTATGGTAGTAAAGAGGGTAATTCTTTTGAAGCTTTTCTCTTTCTTACTAAGTTTTATTGTTTTCAATTTTTCATTAATTTACGGGTATGGTTCGATTTGGGAGTTGTGAACACTATCTGTGAATAAGTTTAGTGTAAGCGTAGGGGTCAAATTAAGTTTTAACTATTCAACTTTTTGAATGTTTTGCCGTGATGATTGATTAATGATTTCTAATGATTTAGGTTACTCTCTCTATTGCCTTAAAATAGACGAAACCACAGTTTTATCTTACAGTTTTTCTTTCTAAATAAAGAAAGGCGATAAGTTTGAATATTTATGTCTGCTGACCAAAGTTAAAGGAACCATGACAATGACCTATTTATAGCGATCGTCCAAACTGAGAACACACTAAATTTAGTAAAAATTGACCAAATTTGACGCAGTTGACATTCTTAAATTAGACTGCCCATTTGTATATATATGACCCAAAGTGATATTGCCTCACTCAACCAACAAAAGCTAAAACCAAAATCTTATTCCCCATACTTAGAGGTTAAGAGAAATAAAACCTTTTTCCGGCGACGAAATGGCTTCTTACTCTGGTTGTTTCCTCGTCGTTACTTTGGCAGTTCTGTCACAATTTCTCTTAGCCCCAGCTTCAGCCTTGGTCAACAGAGAATTCATCGATGCCAATTGCCAACGAGTCAAAAACAAACAATTCTGCATCCAAACATTGACCACCTATCCTCCTACCGCTGCTGCCACCGGCCTGGTACTAACCATCTAACCACATAGCTATTCAATCATAATTCTAAACTAAAACACATCTATATAGGTTTTGATGGTTTGTGCGTCTATGGTAACAACTAACAACATTTAAATGAAATTTCGTAAAAACTTCAATGCAAAAAGTGTGAAGAACCAAATTCGAACTTTTAAGCTACCATTCAATAAAATTCATTAAAATCGCTTATGTGTTCATTTGAACTCCTTCAAATTCAATCCCCTTTACCAATCTTTCAAAATTTTATTATTTGTTCATAGCAAAACGTAAATACCAAACTCAATAGAAATTATTTTGACTCAACATTTGTTTTAAGGAGTTTTTATATATAGGTGTTTAAAAAGGTCATTACAATTTTGAAACTACTTATGTTTTAATCTGTAGTTGCCATTGGCGGAGGCCGTGGTCGGCCTTGCAATATCCCATTGCGAGAAAACAGCCGGTTTCGCAGCCGAGACAGCCAAAAAGGACGCAACATTGAAGACGCAGTTCAATGAGTGCCACGACGCCTATGTTGGTATTTTGGCTTCTCTAAAAAGCGCTCTATTGGAACTCAAGGACTCACCAGACACTGCCAACTACGACGTCATGGTTTCTGGCGATGAAATAAGGCGTGTGAAGGGTTTGGTCGAGAAAAACACCGATACCGCTTCCAAGACGCTTATGGAGATGACATTGCAGATGGAGAAGCTTCTTGATCTCGCTGCTGGAGCCACCGATGCTGTTGACGACGATGATGAGAACTTACATCGTCGTGCTTGAAGTTTGAAACTAAGTCGGGTTTTATTTTTTCGGTTTTTGGTTTACTTTTGTTAAAAAAATATGAATGGATTCAAATGACATATATATAAAAACTTTTATATGTCACTGATAATTGAATCTTAGGATAAGTTTCAAATTGTAATATTTGTTAATTTCGAAGCAAGTAATTGCTATGCATTCGAGCGTATAAATACGTTAGTTAGCTCTCAAATGGAGATTTTAGATTTCAACCTTACGTTGGTTTTAAGAGTCATGAAGCTAGAGAGTTAATACAAGAACATAATTTAATTAATGAGAAAGACTTTTATGGATTTTATAACACTTTAGTATAACAAATTTAATTATATATTGAAAGTTTATTGAATAGAATTAATTATAAATTACAAAATATAAATAATAATATATCTAAAAATAGTTGAAAACTTTATTAGTGTAAAAATAAATAAAAATTAAATTTGTATTAAAATTTTAAGAATCATGATTATTTTAAGAAAATGAGCAAAAAATAGATATGGAAAGAAAAACTTGCTAGAAAAAAAAAAAGAAAGGACATGAGAAGTCATGAAGCAAAAAAACAAAAAAAAACTCAATGGGGTCATAAATGAGTTTGGCCAAAATTTTGTCAAAACTTACACAATTGTTTTCTATAATATAAAACAACTTTAAAATCTTTTTTTTTGTTGTTGTTATATAAAACTTTTAAAATCTTTTTAATAGGAGAATAAATCCACCACTATCTTCCATGTCATGTGTTGTGTTTGTCCAAGTTTCTTTTTAGAAAGGGTATAATTAATTAATTATCCATTTCCACATTAAATGTGTTTTAGTTTTATTTTTATAAAAGCTACCCTTAAATATGCCATTGATCTAATATTAGTGTCATTGCTCTAAAATTAGGTCATTTTATGGTTCATTCACCAAATTCTCCAAAAAAAGATAACAATAAGAAGATTGACCACAAATTGTGATCCATCTGTACTTTTTTAGATTGAAAATATGAAATTCTAAAGAGAAAGTAAATGGAAATTAAAACCTAAAGATTCACCATGGGCAAGGGGTACTATCTAACATGCGTGCAAGTATTATATAAACCTAACCACAATTGATGAACAATACAATTCCAAAATCTGAATTCTAACAATGGCTTCTTCCTCCTACTATTTTGGCCTAGTTTCTCTTGCAGTTCTGTCACCATTTCTCTTAATCTCTGCTTCGGCCACAAATTACATCGACGCCATATGTCAACGTGTTACCGACAAAGCCTTCTGTGCCAAAACTTTGAACGCATACCCTGCCGCATACCCTGCCGCTGCTTCTGCCACCAGCCAGGTACTATAATAATATCTATCTTCCAAAACCAATAGATAGAGATATATATTTTTTATTTTTTGGTTTATCAAAAAAAGATATATATATCACTTGTGGTTGGAAAAATAAATGATATATCACTTGTTACTTTCCAAAAGATATAGAAAAAAAGGTTTATAGTTTCTTTGATCAATTACATATTTTTGTTAAATTAATAAATCTTTTGGTTGTCGAAGGTTTTTTTTTTTGTTTTTTTTTTGATAATATTACAGACAGATGATTTTTTTTTTTTTTTTTCAACTTGTAGTTTCAAGCAGCTGTGGCCACGCTCAACCTAGCCATAGCTTATGCCGATAAGTGTGCGGGTTTCAGTGGAAATGCGGCAAAGGAGAATCCAAACTTGAAGACGCAGTTTGCGGCGAGCCAAGATGCCTTTATGACCATTAGCAAGTCTGTCAAGAGCGCTGCCTCGGAACTCAAGGTATCGCCAGACACTGCCAACTATGACGTCATGGTTTGTAGTGATAGCATAGCGGTGGTGAAGAATTCGGTAGGGAAAAATTCAGACAATGCGTCGAAGACTGTTATGACGATGACATTGATGATGGAGAAGCTTCTTGCTATCGCGGTTGGAGCCACTGTCGCTGTTGGCGGGTAAAGACAACGATAAGAACATATACCATCGTCAGATTTTCCATTTTTCGTTTTACCCCTGGTTGAAGGTTGTGGTTATTTATTTTACCAAGTAAAAAAGGTTGTGATTATTTATTTTACTTCTTTACAATACAGTGTTTAGTTTTTAAGATCAATACATTTTTTCTTTCGATTGAACATATGTATTTGATGAAAACTTGCTTAGTGAATTTTAAATTGATTTGGAAATCTAAGGACCACTAAATTTTGACCCGCACGTACCTGCTAGGTTTCATATTTTAAGAAATTTGTTATAAATCACTTTCACTTTTATTATATTACTTAAGAAAACCGGAAACTTTTGAAAAACAAAGTTAAGATGTTAGCAAAAATCTTACATCTAGAAGAGTTAAAAGATTAACACAAAATTCTTCAATTCTGGATAATTATGATCTTTGTGTTATTCTTTTCAGAAGGTAATTTTTTTTTTCATTTTTAAAATTTAATGTAATTTGTATTTAGATGCTGCTAGATTTTGTGAAATTATATGTCATCTAAAGAATTTTTTCTATACTTATTTTTCTCCAACCTAAGAAACTTTATGAAGTATAATAATATATTATATCTTAATCAAATCTTAGTAAATTGGTCGAGAATAATATGAAACATATTTTGTTGAACGAGATACCTTTTGCCTTCAATCTAAAAGGTCGGTAGAATAGAAAAATAGAAATGGAAAATAAAAGATTGAGTCCCAACTAACCAAATTCTACTTGATTTTCTTCTTCTTCTAAGCAGCATATATGACGCCTTCACAAACAACAACGGTAGAGGAGGAAATGGCTTTTTCCTCAGTTTGTTTCTTTTTCGTTTCCATGGCAGTTCTATCCGAAATTCTCTTAATATCTCCTTCAGCCTTAACATCCACAAAGTATATTGATGCGATATGCCAACATGTGGAAAACGGTACCTTCTGCATGCAAATGTTGAGAACCTATCCTCCCGCGGTTTCTGCCACCGACTTGGTACTAATCTTAAGCCACATATCTGTTGAATTTATAATATGATATATATTGTATGTAGTAAAATGGAAATAGTTCAAACTGGAAAAGAAAAAGAACACATGGTCTAATCAAAAAATATGCGAGAAAAAAAGTATATTGCCAAAATTTTCCCTTCTTTATTTTATATAGAGGCAAAAGTTTTGTAGTATAAGATAAAAAAAAAATAGTTTGGAATTGCCATTATCTTTATAATTCATTTTTAGTTCGTTAACATAAAATATGAAAACTTCTAGGAAACAACTGTCAATAATTGTATTTTCTAATCTATATATAGTTTTCACTCGCTAACATCGTGATCAACCTCGGCATATCCTACGCCAACAACACGGGGGGTTATGCCGCCGAGACAGCAAAGAGAGAGCCTACATTGAAGGCGCAGTTCAATTCATGCCAGCATGAATATGACGGTATTCAATTGTATCTAAGAATGGCAAGGGGGGAGCTCAAGGAATCTCCAATGAGTGCAAACTATGACATTTTCCGTTGTACGGACATCACCATGTACGTGAAAGATTTGGTCGGGGGAAACAGAGACACCGCCTCGAAAACGTTCATGGAGATGACATTGCAAATGGAAAACCTTATTGATGTCGCCATTGGAGCGACAGTAGCTCTTGGCGGGTGAATATGACACATACAGTCGTGGTTGGTGTTAAAAGCTGGCTCAGGTTTTCAATTTATAGTTTGCATTTCTTCAAAATTGTAATGATTTAATTTTCTGCAACGAAAATCAATACTCCCTCCGTTTTCGAATAGTTGTCGTTTTAGAGCTTTTTTTTTGTTTTAAATTAGTTGTCGTTTTAAGGTAATAATGTAATTTATGCCAATAACTACCCAAATTACCCTCATTTTATTGAACACAAATTATTTGTAAATAATTACTTGTCATTTTTATGAGGTTAATATAGTCATTGTATACATTTCTTAATTTGTCCAAATACAGTTAAAACGACAACTTTTAAAAAACAGAGGGAGTATATCATTAAGTTGTCTTGGAAAAGAAGTACAAGACTAAGGTTGATAGGTATTAGGTGGGTTTTTCACTAAGAGACTTCCACTAGCTTGGAATGATTTTAAGATTATCTCAATCACAAGCGAAAATCTCTGAGCCTCAAAGAATTAATTGTCAAGGTGCGGGCTTAGTCGACAAACTGAAAAACAAATGTGGCTCAAATTCATGAGAACTATGTGAGTTTGGCTGAGCACAAGGACAAGGGTGAAAACAAAGTTCCTCATTAAGCTTCCTTAAGTTTCAAGAAGCAGAATGTCAAAAACCAATTGCTTATGTTGTTTAGTCTTTTGATATTTGACATGAACCACTAAGGCATATGCATTATATATCTATTTGTAGAATGATTAATTTGAACCCGAATTCGAAATGCAAAACAAGTAAATTAAAACAAATGTGACGTATACGTACATGCCTAACACACAAAAACCATAATTACCACATGTTGAAAGAACTACTGAACATATTCTTATTCTCTTTCTGTTAAAGTTTCCATTCACCATCCAAAAGTTGCTAATTTTCCCAAAATAAAACCATTCGTCTTATCATATATGCAGTTACAATGGATATTTCTTTTAAAAGCTTTTGAAAATAGAAAACTATAGTCGAGGTTTATTGGTTCATAGATTTTAATTGATTTAGAAATTCAAAACAAAACCATGTGTTATTGGATCCTTGATTATAATTTTTCTATCAAAATCACGTTATCCACTCATGATTTCTAAATACTTGTTAAAATCATGTGTTATTCTTTTAATGATTTATTGTTGGATTTTCAAAATTCAAATTAGATTTAAATGAATTTGAAAGTTAAAAATAGAAAGGTTAAAATCCATGGATAAACTATGCTATTTCAAAATTCATATATATCTTATCTCAAATCAATGAAGATTTCTAAATCCTATATGGTTATAATCATTGAACTAATAAAGCCTCATTAATAAATCGTAGGTATTAAATTAATTCTTTTTATAGCTTTTGAAAATAAGAATATAGTCTTATAAATTTTACGTTACTAAAATAGAGTGACCAGCCAAAAAGTCAAAAAAAACTTGGCCAAAAAAAAAAAGTAATTAAACCTAGTCAACAAATTGTATAGATTGTTCTAAGATGAAAAATAAGGAAAGTATAATTTCAACAAACCAGTCAGATTTCAGCACAGAATGAAAATGAAAGAATAATACTAATCAGATTTTATTTTTTTACTAAAGATAGTAATAAATTCATGACTTACAAGAGAAGTTTTAGTCCCTTACACACACACATATATATACTTGACCCATATAAACAATAAACACAAACGTCCAAAAGCAAATCCAAAAGTTGAATCTTAATTAACGTATAGGTTGAGAGAAACAAAACGTTCTCCGACGAAGAAATGGCTTCTTCTTCTCATTGTTTCTTGATCGTTTCAGTGGCACTTCTATTGCAAGTTCTCGTATCCCCTGTTTCGGCATTAACCTTAACCTCCACAAAATACATCGATAAACTATGCCAGATGCCATTAGTCGACAGTAAACCCTTCTGTTTGCAAACATTGAGTGCCTATCCTCCTGCTGCTTCTGCCACTGGCTTGGTAATATCTAAACCCATATCTCCAATCAAATTAGTTTTTGAATTGCATATACTTTTATCCAACGTTTACATGTCAATTGATTTTTCGAAACTATGTTTTCATTATCATCTATGTTTTCTTAAATTTTTTTTTTTTTAATCATGGATTATCAGCCTAATAAATCTTGAAAACAAAAACAATTATTGAATGTTGTGGTTCGAAAAAAAAAAATTTGAACCACTTTTCAAACACATAAAATATATATATATATATATATATATATATATATATATATATATATATATATTTTGACTCATTCTTAAAGCAATATTTTTTCTTTTGAAATAATATGTACATCGTATTTTGAGAAATATATATTTTAATCTACAGCTCCCACTTGCGTCAGCCGTGATCCGCGGCATTGTCCTACCGCAAGCCAAGAAGTCGGCGAGTTTTGCAGATGAAGCAGCAAAAAAGGAGCCGAACTTGAAGACACAGTTCCAGACGTGCAAAGAGGCCTATGAAAGTATTGGAGATTCTCTCATGAGCGCTCTTGAAGAACTCAAGCGCTCTCCAAATGTCGCAACCTATGATGTAATGACTTGTACCGACCACACAAGCCAAGTGAAGAATTTGGTCGGTAAAAACAGAGACGTGGCTTCGAAGACTCTCATAGAGATGACAATGCAAATGGAGAAGCTCCTTCCTCTCGCTCTTGGATCCACACAAGTTGTTGGCGGGTGAAGACGAAGATGATAACATATACCATCGTACTTATCTTAATATATTATTAAAAACTATCTTAGATATATATACAGTCAAACATTTATAAATTAATACTCGATTAATTAATAAGTATTATAAATTAATAAAAATTCTCGGTTCACATATAAATTTATCAATATATATATGTAAGAATATTTAGTGAAATATGACTTTAGTATTATTTATTTTTCTTACATTTTCATTAATGTTTGGTAAAGTTCACTTCTAATGTTTTTACTACATCAAAAATTTTTGTGTTGTTTTCTAGACATAATAATTGTGTTTTTACTTGTAATTGGTTATAGAAGGATTTTGATTTTAACCAAAAAAAAATTTCTTTAGATTAAAAATAAAGTTTTAAGAAATTACAAAATCACACAAATCTCTCTAAAAATCAATAACTGTTAATTTATAGTTCAATTAATACCTCTATATATAAACTAATAGAATTTTATGGTCCCGATATTTTTAATTTATAGATGTTTTACTGTATATGTATAATTTAATTGTAAAAGGTTGAAAATGAAAACTATTTTATTATATCTTATAATTGCAAAAGGTTCATATTTGCAAACCCCATATGTTAAGTTATTAACTAGGAATGTCTCTTCCAAGAAAAGATTTCTTGGATTTTTCAAAAGCTCAAAGAAGTTAAAAGCTCTAATGGATACGTAATGACCTAAACACCCCCAAAACTTGACTGTGATTAATGAGAACTAATGTTTTCAATATCTATTAGGCTTTGAATTGTTGGTAGATATGATGCGGTTCAGACTAATTAAGTCGGATTAGTCTGCACTTAATTTATCATTCAACAAATTAGACCGATATACGACACCTAGGCCTACAAAAGTTCATACTAATTTACACTCGAAGAGAAAACTCCATACTGTGTTGATTCTACTATTAGTCTAAGATTTTCATTCTACTCCTTATAAGCTCCATACCAATTCCATACAAATAGTAAGAATCAGACTAAATTGTATCTCTCCAACTAGTTGGATCCGAGTACTTGTTTTTCATTAGTTAGATTTTTGTTTCTATTTAATGTATAAGAAAAAAATACAAAGTGGCTTATGTATGACCCAATTGTTTCAGTTAATAGAACCTATATTAATCAGCCCAATTGCAAAGAAGACAATTAGATGAACAAAAGCCCATATATTGGAGGTGAAGAGCAATTTGTACCAACTGGTTTTACGGTCGAGTAGTGATCGTAGCGAACCACATCTAAAATAAATTTAATTTAATTTAGTTTATAGTTAAATTTCAATTTTCTTTAACTTATTTTACTTTTTTATATTTTTGAAATTTTTTTCTTATAACTTATTGTTTGAAAATGATAAAATTTAGTAGAAAACTGGTCAAAAATTTCTTTCCCATTTCTTACGAATGATCCTACGAAGGTATTTCGTAGAAAATTTCCTATGAAATTATATTTTTAACCGTTTTCCTACGTTTTTTGTGGTAGGAAATCGAATGTTTTTTTGTAGTCCCGCTAATAGTACATGGGAAAATTAGAAATAAAGGAGCTCTAAAAAAAAGTTTGACCATATACACTTTTTTTTTTATAATGTCACTTTGGACTAAAATACCTCTACTCTCTATTTTAAGCATTTTTGAATGATTTTACCAAAAAAACATGTAGATATACAAGATTATAGATGATTTGAAAAAAAAAATTGATGATTTAGTTGAAAAAGTTGATTTTTTGATGGATAAAGTTTCGTCTAAAATTATTAGAATATGTTTTCTAGCGTTCTACGAATATCAAAATTTATATTCTAAACTTTTGTACATGTTCTACGAAAATCAGAGTTTGTATTCTAAATTTTTGTACATGTTCTATGACTTTTAGATTAGATACATGTTCTAACAAATTCAGAAGACCGGAATACAATTTCCAAAAATCCTTAGAACATGTATTCTACGCTTTTCTTCATGTTCTAATTTTAGTCAGAAAATCTATTCTACGATTTATAACATGTTCTAAAAACGTTAGAAAACGTATAATTATTTTAGAATCCGTTTTCTAGTATAATATAGATTTCAATTTCTGAAAAGTTTTAGAATTCCTAAATATAGAAAGTGAATCTTTCAAAAAGGAAACTGAATATTTATTAAATATTACGTTTTTATTGTTTAGATTACGATCTGAGGATGGTTAGAATACGTATTCTAATATTTTCAGATGAAAAAAAAAATTAAAAACGAAAATCTAGAGGGTGAAATCGTTTTTTAGCCCTAATCGTCAAAGTCTTCTTCTTTCACCTCTTCCTTTTAAGTCCACGTTGGAAGGTTAGACTAATTTGGTAGATTTGTCGTTGTTTTTCCCCGTTCTGTGCCACGTTTTGTCATTTGGTATATACCCATATGCTGATGATGTGTATACAACTGCCACTTGGAGATCATTATATGAGGAAACTATTAATCCAATAGGTGTTCCTGAAGATGAATGGCGCGTCCCAGAGGTTGTTGAATCTGCAAAAGTTTTACTACCTGAAACAAGAAGACAACCTGGTAGACGAAGAAAACGAAGATATGAATCAGCTGAAGACAAGATAAAAGCATCACAACAGTCACAATTATCAAAAAAGCATAAGTGCGGCTGTTGTGGTAAAGAAGGTCATAATCGAGTAACATGTGATGTAGCAATATAAGGTTTGTGATCTTGATCTGACTACTAGTTTAAAACTTAAGTATAGATTCCCTACTTTTATATTTTGTTTTGATAATTGTTTTCTTTATCTTTTTCAGGATTATGTTGTAACTGCTCTCATTGAACGTTTCTAGTTACCACTATGGATTTTGAACTTCTTTCTCATTTCATGATTATTTTCGCATTTTTTATTTCAGATTTGAATTTCCTGGTACTCTATGTTTGAATTTTTGTTCTCATAATTGGAATCCCTACTACTCTTATGTTCGTGGTTTTGCTTTGAGTTTCGGATTGACTTATCACTAAATTAAGTATATACAACATAAGTTCCGAGACCAATTTAACATAATTTAAAAATAAACGTAAGAACCATAGTCTCAACCTGGGAAAACGGCCTATTCCTCCCTAAACTAAGTTGCTTTGGCTGATTCATCCCTGAAACTTTGTCTTGTGCCTAAACCCATGAACTAACATAGAGTTTGAATTTCCTCCCTGAACAAAACAAATCCGGACTAAACCCACAAATCGTTAAACGCCGTTATTGTTCCGTTAACGAACATCTGACTAGGATGCCACATCATCGATCTAAGTGACTGTGTTTTGAGGGGAAAAAGGCCTATTCCCCCATAAACTAAGTTGTTTTGGCTAATTCATCCCTGTAATTTTATCTCATGCCCAAAACCCACATGAACTAACATAAAATTTGAATGTCCTACATGAACAAAACAAATCCAGACTAAACCCACAAATCGTTAAACGATGTTAATGTTCCGTTAATGACCAGCTGCTAAACAATGTTACTGTTCCGTTAATGATCAGCTGACTAGATCTTGTGAATACAAGTGCATAAAGTAGTAAAGAGTTTTTTCCAGTAAGTAGGCGATGCCTTTTCTAGGTCTTCTCTCATCTTTATATAGATACTCTTCCTAGGTTATTCGGTCTGAGGTCCGCATTAACCTCTCCTACATCATAGGTCCATGCCGAGATCTCGCCTCACTTAGTCCTGATTCGGAGCCAGCTCCGCTTCTCTTCACTATGGGCTTATGAGCCTAACGTATCTCCCACTTGTTATTTTTGTTGGTGGATTCGGAGGTGCTGAATCTAGCTCCAACTAAACCTGTTCAAGCACACATCTGAAAATTCATCAAAATCTTAGAATTCATACCCTAAAACACCTTTAATCCCAGCAACTGTCTATTCAATTAGGTTCTTCATCCATCAATTTAGTCCAGATTTGTTTTGTGCATGTAAGAAATTCAAACTTTATGTTAGTTCATGTGGGTTTTGGGCATGAGATAAAATTACAGGGATGAATTAGCCAAAACAACTTAGTTTATGGGGGAATAGGCCGTTTTCACCTCAAAACACAGTCGCTTAGATCGATGATGTGGCCTCCTAGTCAGATGTTCGTTAACGGAACAATAACGGCGTTTAACGATTTGTGGGTTTAGTCCGGATTTGTTTTGTTCAGGGAGGAAATTCAAACTCTATGTTAGTTCATGTGGGTTTAGGCACGAGACAAAGTTTCAGGGATGAATTAGCCAAAGCAACTTAGTTTAGGGAGGAATATGCCGTTTTCCCGTCTCAACTTACCAAGTAGGAATTTTCATTTAGTTTATTGTTTATCGATGAGGGAAGTTGATATGTTGTGTTTTTATCGGTTTTGAGTCTTTGTTTTCTTTCCTACATCATATGTTTTATAGAGTCAAAGTGTGTTTTTAGAGTATTTTAGTCTTTTATCGAGTCTTTACAGGTTTTAGGTTGCTTTGGAGGAAAACGAGCTGTTTTGGGTTATAAACACACTTTTGGAGATGTAGTTTCGTTTAGAAGTGTCATACGTTTGGTCTCAGATGGAATGCTTCACACCGTTAGATCTTTCTGAATTTTTGACACAAGCTATATGAAGATGTTATCTTGATTTTTCAAGTAGTTTGAAGGAAATCTAACGGTGCATTCAAGAGTTATACCCAAATTAGTGAAGACAGGTCAATCTGGCGAAAGAATGAGGGTATCTGAATTATGTAAATAAAATAGAAAATAATTTTTTTAAAATTTTGTTAATTATATTTTCGAAAATATGAGGGTAAATTTGGGTTTTAATTTTTAAAAAACCTATTTCACCAAACTTTTTATATAAAAGTATATATGGACATTTATCCATTAAAACATCCTTTATTTCTAATTTTCCCCATAGTACATAAGACAAAAAAAACCCGGCCTATACTTGTACACGCTAAGACGAGTTTCACTAGATGTAATAAAATGAGAAATTTTGAAAAGAAAAAAATTAACGAAAATCAAGTGAATATTATATATTATGGGTGGAAGAATCTTACTCTAAAATATATACTGTATGTGCAGAAATTAGTTGCATGCTATCAAAACCCATTTTAACAAAAGAAGTTGCATGCTATAATATTTTGGTGTACTACTGTACTGTAGTTTGGCATAATCTTTTGAAAATAAAATCAAAGCTTTTTTTTCTTCTTCTTAACAACTGTCCACAGATCGTGATCCACTGTATATTTTAGTTTCTATTTAAGAGAGTGTAAATCTGAATGAGTAGAGAAAGTAAATCGGAAATTAATAACATCTAATAAACTTTTGATACATTTCCAATTTTGAAGAAGATGAGTAAGGGTAGGGTTTATGCGTGCAAGATATATAAATAACCACGATTCTCAAACAAACAAAGGTTAAACAAAAATCTGAATACTAACGAAGGATGGCTTCCTCTTCCTATAGTTTTGTCTTTGTTTCTGTGGCACTTCTGCTACAACTTCTCTTAGGCTCTGCTTCGGCCTCCACAAAGTACATCGAAGACATATGCGAACATGTCAACAACAAAACCTTCTGCGTCGAAACTCTAAACGCATATCCTCCGGCGGTTTCTGCCACCGGCAAGGTACTAATATTTTAATACACATCTTTATTTTTCTTAACCATTACATAGAGATATCACTTGTTACTATCTCAATTACATTGTTCATAATAAAATTTCGAAATTATATTTAAATAAAAGTATATATATTGCAACCCTAAAGATTCAGGATTGTAAATGAAGTCATGAAGTCAAAAATCACTAGGATCGTATTTGTTAATGGAACTATGTTTTTTTTTGGGGTAAAATTGTGCAATTATATATGTTCATGTTTCATTCTCAGTCATAGACACATAATGTTTTTCATTATTCTAATATGTAGTTCCAAGCGGCTAAGGCCGTGCTCCGCCTTGGCAAATCTTACGCCCTAAAATCGGCGAGTTTCATTAGAAAAGCAGCGAAGGATAAACCTAGCTTGATGAAGCAATTCAAGGCGTGTCAAGATGCCTACGTGCACGTTGCAATGTCTCTCAAGAGTGCTGCGTCGGAACTCAAAGAATCGCCGGAAACTGCAAACTATGACGTCATGGTTTGTACCGACAGCACGACGATAGTGAAGGATTTGGTCGGGAAAAATAGAGATGTGGCAGCCAAGAAAGTCATGACGATGACATTGAAGATGGAGAATCTCATTGCCCTAGCTGTTGGAGCCACCGAAGCTGTTGGTGGATGAAGATGACCATGAGAACACGTACCGTCGTTAGATTTTCCATTTTTTGGTTTAGTTTTGTTAAAGATTTTTTTATTGGTTAAACTTTTCTCGGATATTGTGGTGATTTAATTCTTGGGGATGTGCAATATTTTGTTTTTAACAGGATCAATACATTTCCTTTTTTTCACTGAAACATATGGATATGTTTAAAACTATTTTAATCTATGATCTAATAATTGCAGCAGAATGTTAGCAAACCAATATTTTATGTCATCATTAGTCAGAATTTCCTTAACTTTTTTATTTGTTACCTTGTTGAAAAGAAAAAGAGATGTCAATATCTTTATTCCTAAAATATCATGAATTTGTCAAGCTATATAGTATAAGGCTAGTTTTCCTAATTTTTAAAAAACATTTTTTCTAAAGTTCTGAAAGAATTAAATATGAATTTAATTATTTCTTTTTCGGAGCTAGCAAATTATTTCGTAAGTGACTTTAAGGGTAATGGTTCTTAAGGAGGCCTAAATACTTTCGGCCGTTAGTTTATTGGGCCCAAATGAAACTATCATTTTAGGAAAGACTAGGACAAATAAACCGAACCGAATATACCGAACCAAAACCGAAGAAAAAAAAAACGAACCGAACCGAACCGAAAATTTGAAAATAACCGAATGGATAGTAAATTTCGTAATCGAAATAACCGTAACCGAATCGGTACCGAACCGAAATATTTCGGGTAACCAAAATATCCGAAATACAATTATATTTTTAAAATAATTTATTATTTATAGACCAAATAATCAAAAATACTTGAAAAATATGTAAAAATAGTTAAAATACTCGAAAATAATCGAAATATATCCAAAAATATCCGAAAATACTCAAAAATAACCGAAATATCCGAAAATATCATAAGCAAAATAACTGAATGAATACTAAATTTTAAAACCGAAAAAACCGGAACCGAACCGAAATTTTAAAATATCCGAGTGGATACTAAATTTTGAAACCGAAAAAACCGAAACCGAATGGACCCAACCGATAACCGAACGGTTAACCGAAAGCCCAGTCCTAAGACGATGAGTTTTGTCCCGTGTTTAAAATTAATTTAGATGTATATATACACAGCTTCTGGTTTGTGTGACAACTTTGTTTCCATATATAAATTAGTCAAGCCTCTATAGATAGACTACATTCGGAAAAAATACTAGTTTATTGGTGTTATTTGTCGCTCCTCAAGGTGGCAAACCAAGGAGAACAAGAAGAGTCCAGGGCCAATGAGCCTGAGGGTATCGAATCAGTGGTTGATGACGTCTACAATTTTGAAGACGACCCTGTTGTTGATAGGTTCAATAGGTTCGGCACGGAGATGTCTGCCATGGTCTCGGCTTTGACACAGGTTGTTTCTGCTCGCTCTCAGACTGAGGCCGAAGGGGCTCACTCTTCTTCCTCTTCGGCTGGACAGAAGAGAGGTTGGCTTGGAATCGATTCTGTGCCTATTCCCTCCCCATTTGCTCGAGTAGACTCTTCACTTAGTCCGATCGGTGAGTCTATATGTTAAATTCGTGTTTTCGGATTTTGCCTACTTTGCTTATGGACTCTTAACATCTTACAAAAGTATTTTCGTTAGTTGTTTCTGTTTGTGTTCACTTTTGACGTTTGTGCTAGCAAAAATATTCAAAGATGATTTCATCAAATGTTAAAGAAACATTTCACACGTAAAAGCCTAAATAATCACTATTTTGTACAGAAGAATCAACAAGCAAGGCATTACCAGAGGAAGCAAGGGAGAAAAGAAGGAGATACAGGGGAGTAAGGCAAAGACCATGGGGCAAATGGGCGGCTGAGATACGCGATCCACATAGAGCCGCTAGAGTTTGGCTCGGGACGTTTGATACAGCGGAAGCCGCGGCTAGAGCCTACGACGAGGCTGCACTCAGGTTCCGTGGAAATAAAGCAAAGCTTAATTTCCCAGAGGATGTAAGAATTCTTCCTCCTCCTCCTCCTCTTCTTCCTCCACCAGCTGACACGGCGGCGAATAAAGCAGAAGAGGATCTGATAAATTATTGGAGTTATTCAAAGTTGTTGCAAAGTTCAGACCAACGGTTAATCCCCGAGCGAGGACAAGAAGAGAGTACCAACATACTAGAACATTTACCAATGGAACAACCTTTGCCTCCTTCAAGTTCTGGTCCAAGTTCCTCTGATTTTTGTGGACCTTCCTCTACCTAATACATTACATATTTCACTTTTATTAACAAACAGTCTACAAAACCATTTAAATACGTAGCTAAAAGAAAATGATTTTTCTTGTCTCTATACATTGCTAAGTGCTAAACAATATATATTGTACTCTGTTTTGCCTTAAGTAATCTCTCTCTTTTCGTTGTAGAATCTTTCTTTATCATCCAAATTTCATTTCCTCGTTCTAGTTTCGTATCTCATTATGTCAAAACGATTTTATATTGGTTAAATATATATAACAATACTCAAACAAGCTCCTCTACAAGTTTAGTATCGAAATAGTTCTCCATTGTGATCCGAATCGTATTTGTAAGAAAGAAAGAAAAAAATAACTTGAAAAACAAGCAGAGTTAGGCCAGTGACAAAAATTAGGCAAGATGCAGCATAAGAGTAGGCAATAGGTTAGCTCCATGTCACGTACATGGTACATTTTGAGCTATCTTGACAAAAGCTTTCCATGATTCTTGTCTTGGACCATCATTCATTTTCCCGACTTTTTTGAAATTATATTTCATGATTCATGCATGTCAAAGAGAAAACGTTAGGTCGCCGAGACGACGTAACTCAACTTATATATAATTATGCACTCTTTAATTTTAAATCAATACTTTTAACTAATATCTTGATAATATTTTTAGCCGAAGAAAATCTAAAATAGAAAACATAAAGGCAAGAAAAAATAAAAATTTATTCTGTGAAACCATTAAAATATTACATTCCTCGTCCAATACAATGTCAAATTCTAGAACTGATTACATTTTTTTTTTTAAATAGACTAGCCAATCATAATAAAGATTTATGATGGTGTAAGGGTCATCGGTCATTTCCTTTTCTTTGTGATTCGTTTCACTGACTTTTCTTTTATTATTCCAGTGATATTTTTGTTCCATCTTCATTTATCGTTTCCTTAAGATATTGTTTCAAGTAATCCCAGTTTAGTCGTCAGTCGTCACCAGAAATAACGGTGTCGTCCGTAAGTAGGATTTTTCCCATTTTGATGTAATCCATGACCATCATGAGGTTTTTGCATGCAAACCTCTTCCTCAAGTTCCCCTTGAAAAATGCATCCTTTACTACACATCAGTTTAGTTGAGTGGCCACTTCTTGTTCATCGTAACTAAGAAGAGTATTCATTTTGATTGTAAATTTTTTGCTCATGTACTATAACCACCGTTTCATCGTATGAATCACTTATTGATTTCATGAGAGAAGTTGGGTGTTCAGCCGTGATATATGTTTCCACAAGGATTAAACGGAGGTTAGACCAAAAGGCTAGTGGCCTAGTGCGTGATAGTACAAAGATGTTGGTTTTCTTGTGTCCGAGGTTCAATAAACGGAGAGGCATTCTTTATATAAAAATAGGCTAAAGACTGACTCTAGGTACCAAAAGAGATTATGGGCTAAAGGTTCGGATGTCCAGCGGTTTTAAAAAAAAATGTAAACGGAGTTTGAATATATATGGTTGGGTTTAGATTTTAAGATTATAGTTTTATGAGTCTCAACGAGTCTTAGGACGACAATTAGGGTTTGGCATGTTGGGATTGGAGCTTAGATTTTACAATATAGGGTTTTGATATGAAAAATTAACTTTTCATATGATGAAGATGAACAATATTATTATAGGGTAAACACAAAAGTTTTTAGTAATGTGAAACTTTTCAAAAGCTTACTAATGTGAAAATTAATTTGAAAAAGAGATTTTCAGAGAGAATTTAAGTTTTTCTTGTAGGTTTAACAATATGTTTATTTGTGTCTAACACTTATCAACATTGACTGACTTAAGTACTTAGACTAAATTCACATCTATATCTACTATATATCTTGTACGTACAACCGGAGGAAGCCATTTTTGTAATCTTCTCTAAAACTTGCAAAGACTTTCATTCATATAAGAAAACACGTGAAGAAAAAGAAGAGTGATAAACTAAGCCATCTTTAAACACTTTCTCTTTCGGGGAAAATGAACAAAAACAATAAGAAAGTAGAAAAACACACTCGCTCATAGAAAATGGAAAAGTAAGGTACATAAGACAACACATCGAGCATGTGTCGCGAACTGTGGAGAACGGTTGGGTCCCATTTTCTGCTTGACGTGCCGTTATTCTCTTTTCTTTCTTAGCATATGTACCAATGATCAAACTTATAAGATGACATTGCATGTATAACGTTCAAAAAAGATATAGCTTATATATTTTTGAGAAGTTAGAAAAATCACATATATCTAGATTTCATACAGAAAATCATATACTTATGCAAGAGGCTCACCTTATCGTTAGCTACTCACCCACACCTTAGGTCTCTCACCGACGATTTAGCTCTGTTTTTAACTCTATTTTTAACTCTCAATAATTTCAGCTTAAAGTTTACATCTATTGTAAAATAGATTTTTGGGTTTGAATAAACCTTACACTCAAATCAAAAACAAATTATTTATTTAGTGTTTAATTGGCTTAAACATAGTAGATGAGAGTGTTTTTGTGAAGTTTCCAAAAAATATACAATCCGATTTCAAAAGTTATTAAATGATTTATATAATTGATATATGCGTTGACAACAAATGCAATAATATTTTTTTTTTTTTTGACATCTAGATTTATTATTTATTGCAAATTATGAGAACTGTTACATAGACGATTCTACAACGGACAATTTCTTCCGACCCATATTAGATCCACGATAGACGACACTTCCTTCTCCATGCTCTTGACGGACACCTTCAATGATCCACGACCTAACGACACTTCTCTCTCTGCGTAGAATCCTGGCGAACGGCTATAATTGTACTTCGATTGAGATCTCCTGCACACTTGCCTCCTTTAATCTGCAAATTTATTAATAAATCGTAATATCTGGGACTCAAACCCCAGACCTCTTGGTGTAGAAGCATTAATTAACCCTTAGTCAACCAATGGGCCAAGGAGGCTTCCACATGCAATAATAGTTAACAATAAAATTACCAAAATAAATAGAAATATATAATTTGTATAAAAATATGAATGACAATTTTTAACAAAAAGTACGACTGTAATATTTGTTGTTTCTCTTACATCCTGTTAAATCTGATAGTTTTTTTTTATAATGTTTTTTTTAAATTGTCGAAACTACAATTTTGTTGCTTTTAATTTAATCTATGCTATTTCGAGTTATATCATAATTCATACGCAATTTCATAAAAAACATTTGCTAATTTTTTTTGGTTTATAAACTTTGATAACGATTACATAGAAATAAAGAAGTGTCACAACGACAAGAAATACCAGGAAGAACAAATCCGGTACAAAGAGAAAATAGGAACTTACATACTTACAAAACTTAGAGAGGAGCGCCTCGAAACCAAAGTTGTAGCAAGTCTTGAAACTTCGGGATGTGCCTTCTAGCTGAGCAAGTGTTGCCGATCCCTTGATCAAGTAATGGGAAAATGCCTTCAACCGAAGTGTGGATGCCTCTGAAAATTCAAGCATTTCTTTCATGCCAAATTGTATAGACTACTGCCTGAGTTGCAATAAGTCTAAACGTATTTGAAAGAGCTTTAATAGAGGGAGATTTAAGCCAAGGAAGGAACCAATCCCATGTATTGAAACCCATAAGTGTTGTTGCAGTCTGGAAGACACCACCTCCATAAGTCAAAACACTGTACACATCTAAGAAACAGTGTCGGTCCAATAAAATTCGGAGTCAAATACGAAAAAATTGGGATCTTTTAAAAAAATAAAAACTACTAATTTTTTTTCCTAATTATAGTACATTCATAATTTTTATTTATTAGTTTTTCTTAATTTTTGGACATTGTTTGATAATTATAGAATTTTTTTACTAATTATGAGATATTTTTTGTTAATTACGAGGTTTTTTTTTTAATTTTGAGATTTTTTTTGTTAATTGTGGAGCTAAAAAACAATCTTTCCAAAATAGGCCTCAAAAATTTACGGTCAAATACAAATGTTTTATAAAAATTGGTAAAAGACCGACCGAGCTGCTAAGAAAGAGATGATCTCTTGTTTCGAAATATATATGGCATAGGAAACAAGTATCATCCTCCATAATTACGCAATTTCAAAATTTACTCACATCAACTATAAAACCTTGCGAATATTCATTATCTGTTGATGAATACTAGTAATCCTTTGTGGCCTGAGGATTTAAGAGGCTCTTTTCCTTGGACTCTAAGGCGAATTTGGAAGAATAGGAACCTTGCTTGCTTTGAAGGTAAAGGCTTCTCGTCTCTGGAATCTGTCCAGAAAATCAGAGAGGACTGGTTGGAATGGAGAGAGGCACAATTGAGTGGTGATGAGGGTAATCCAACTGTTGGAAGTGGAGTTAGTACATAATTGAATGATCAGAGTCAAGTGGATAGGCGTGATGATCTTGGTTGGAAGCCGCCGCCCTCCTCTTGGTTTAAATGTAATATTGGTATTTCTTGGTCCAACAGGAACAAGTTTGTTGGTTGTGCATGGGTGTTAAGAAATCATTTGGGTGTGGTTCTGCTTCATAGTAGAAGAGCTTTTGTGAGGTTATTGGATAAGCAGGAGGCGCAGTTCAAGGGTCTGTTGTGGGCGATTGAAAGCATGCGGTTTTACAAAGTTGAGAATGTGATTTTTGCTTTGCAGGTTAAGGTTTTAGTGAAGGCTATTAACAGACCTAGGGCATGGCCCTCTTTTAGATACCAATCTATGGAAGCGGGTATTGCTCTTAGCTCTTTTAAGTGTTGGAATTTTTTTTTGGAAAACTCTTCTTCAAACAGAGGTGCTTTTATGATTGCGAAGAGTGTGACGTACTACAAGAAAACAATCAGTTTGCGACGAAATTTTGCGAGAGAAAGTTTCCCTCGCAATTTTGCAATGGATGTGCGAGGAATTTGTGAGGCGGGTCCACTATCTAGCTAATCCCTCGCAATTTTGCAAGGAAAGATTCCGTCGCAAATTTGCGCGCGTTTTGCGACGAATCTGCTATGACGGTTATATCCCTTGCAAATCTGTCGGAAATTTGCGAGGGAATAGCGACGCTCTGTTCCAAAGCAAAATTTGCGATGAATTTACGAGTAACTCTTGAGTTAGGTGAACACATTTTAAATGAACGTAACTACTTTATTGGTAGGTGAAAAATACCTAGCAAAATCATAGCAAATTTATAATTCCTAACAATTCCCTTGCAAATATAGCTAGCAATTCCATAGCAAAAAAAAATTATGTGCCTATAAATAGCAACCATAAGAGATG